CACTTCCAGTACATGATGTTTTGATGTGGAATATTGAAAATCAAATAAGCAAAAACCAAAACCATGACAGGAATGTAATGAATATGTATATGCTATGTCTTTAAATATGTAGTTGTTTCTCCCTTCGATGTGCATGTTCAGTGGAGCGATCCCCCATGCTCCCAGTGCAGTAATAAAGGGAATACCTGCTTGACATAACTCATTGGCATGTCAAGTTACTCTGTCAGCTTTCTTGGCTTCACTCCCCAATTTTGCATACATGCCTTAAAGTGCTTTACTGAAATCCAGTGTAACTCTTGCTGACATGTTTCGGACTTAACAGCAAAAACATAGATGGCATCAAAAAACAAATTGCATACAGAAGCTAGAAAACTTTCAATTTCCACTACTTTGCTTAGAAGCAAACCCCTTAGAGGAGACACATTCATACTCTCTAGGGATCTGGTCAGCCATACCCAGACACTCTCATTTCTGGTCAGAATTCTTCCATTATTCAAAACTGAGGAGATATCCACAAGAGGGAACAGAGGTTGCAAGGGGGAGGTATATGAAGGCTACACAGGTCACAGGGAAAGTCACAAAACATTCAAACTCACTCAGGAATTAGAACGTAAGTCCAAGTAATTTGTAAGCCACAACTTCCTAGTTATCTTAATAAATAACTGGTCAATTTTCTACCTCTGTTCCAATCTTCTCATGCCTTTCTTGTATATCTTCTTTAGTCAGTTAATCTTACTGCTTCTATAATACTTGTGGACAATATATCCTGTCCTCCACTACCATACAGCAAACAACAGCATCAGTATTCTTAGGTGCATTTTCATGTCATTAGCTACCCTTCTAACTCCTTACCTGATAAACATATCTGAAAAACTAACACAAGTGAAAGTAAAAGGCATGCTCCTTGGTCATGCACCAAGTCATTTAAAGAGTAATTTCCTGGAAAGATGCCATCTTTGGCAAAAGAGTTCCCTTTCAATAGCCAACAATATATTTAGTCCCACACTGGACTACTAGACATTCAAGAGTGACAAGACAGATGTCTAATGAGCCCACCTGAACTCTGACCTTGTTATTACCTTCTCTGGTTAAGTGAAAAACAGCTTTTGTAAAGTTCAGAAAGCTGCACCTTAAGAAGCTCACCGCAGTGCTCAACAAAAACACACTGGTCTCCAGTATCAGTATTCTCCTTCCACACTTGGACAGAGGGGGTGTGACAAAATAAAATCATTTAAGCTGGCTTCAGCAATTAAGAGTCTCTTTCATCAGTTGGTGGTTCCCAAGTGTGGATAATAACATAAATGAATTACTTCATTACAAGACAGGCCTTCCTTTGTCTTCATCTTCTGCCACAGAGTGTAGTAAGTAGCAATCTATCTTGTTTTTCTACATCATAGATGAACAGGTTACATTTATCATTTCTGAATCACCACTGTTACGTGGTTTAGTTCCAGACTCATCTCTTGCCTTTAGCCAGAAGTGCACATTTCATGCTTGAAACTTCATATAAAAACTTACGGCTGTCTCTATCTTCAGAAAGGCAGACTGTTCTTTTGGTTTCTGTTCAAGTGCCTACTCGTGCTTTTGTTGAGAGTTGTTCTCCTCAAAGGTGACAGATCTTGGACCTCTTCTCTATCCCAGACATTCACATACTCAGGTTCCTATGCTGTATAGGTGGAGCTTCCACAGCTCCTCAATCTTTTTTCATTTCTTTTTGCTTCTACTTAGATAATCAGATCCTACTGCTCAATGTCTGTTAACCAACCGCTTTTAGCAGTACTTAGACCCTTAACTACAATTAGGTGAGATCTTAAGCAGTACTTCAGATATCTAAACAATTCTTCACATACAAAGTTCTTCCAATAACTCCTCAAATTCATTTGTTTCTCATAGGATTGTTATAGTACTAAACAGAACAAATATTCCAATTGCCTTCCCTTCAACTTAACCAGAGAATTAACCAGGCTACAACATGTTCTCTGCAATTTAGCAGCAGTTAAGCTATAAAAATGAAATCTTTGCCACGTGAAATGTATTTACATTTTTAGAAATTAAAATAACCATTCTGTTAGTTTACAGTTAACTGCAATTTGCTATAGGTCTTCATTCCAATCCTTTCACTTCTGGAAGCATCTTACCTGTGCCATCATCTGCATCATTCCGACCAATCTCCCAAATCTCTGATTTTGTTCCAAAGTCATCAGCAGAAGATTCCACATAGTCTGCAGGGTTAAATGTCCTACAGTTTTAAAAGTTGAGAAATGGAAGAGAACACACAGGTCACTGAACACAAGTATCATCACTTTTAGCTGAAGTTGTATTAGATTTAATATCACAATTTCCACATATATTTATCTATCATTTTTGTTTTTAAAGAAATCTTTCCTCTATGAGCAGACATTGTTAAAAGAAAAAAAAAAAAGGGGGAAAAAAAAAGAAAAGAGAAGGAAAAAAGCAAGGAGACTATTGGACTATTGAGAAACTGACCCAAAATAAGAATTCCTAAAAAAGCAGTTAACAGCATACCTATCTCTCTCCATCCAATAAAGCATCAATTTATATGCTCAGCATTAAGCTTTTCACAGCTGATAGTTTATCTGTGGCTGACTGATGAGAAACTAGTAGCATGTATTTTCAGAGCACCAGACTTGTGCAGGACAGTAGTTGGTAATAGTATTTCAGAATGAACTCCTGATACCAATTCCAAAAGAACACAGATGTACATAGCAGGTGAAAAGGACTGTTACAGAAAAACTTCCTTTCAGTTTAGCATTGGAATCGTGAACAAGAAGGATTATTAGAGAAGTAGAACTAGCCATCAGTTCATCATGACATCATTGACATTACATGAAATATCATTTGAAGCAAACACTAAAATAAGCGGAGGCTATGCTTCTCTGAATCAAGTTACTCCGACAAAACTGAGAATGATCTTAAGAGCTACTCAGTAACTTCCTTTGATTCTTTTTTAGGGTGTGTGCATGTCCAAACAGCTAAATCATAAAACCTCAAAAACAGGAGAAAGTTCATAATCAGTAGTCTACCTGTTTTATTTAGGACTCACATTCCACGTTACATTAAAACAAATCTTTTTTTAAATAGACCTAGGATCACACAGAACGTTTCAGTCTCCTAGGCTCCCTGTGGCTGTTACTGATCATTACAAATGGGTTCTCCAAGTTTAATATACTAATATTGAGTGAACTCAGATTAGGTCTGTATAAGTGTATCTAGTTACAAATATTAGTTTAAAACAAAAAATATATATATATATCAATTTATTATCTAAAAGATCTGTGAACTTTTGCATCCATATTGATTTATCATACATACAGAAATATTAATACATACAGTGACAATCAGTATTGCCAGTGAGCCTGATCCTCCCTAGAATCTGTGCTCTGTGTGTCTCTTACCCCATGCCTTGGGCTGAAAACCTCCCTGCTCCTCTCCCTCTGCCACGTCCAAATCCTAGGAAAGAAAACACCATTTAACAGCAACAGCAGAAAAGAAGCCAGTCACTATTCTGTCACATTAGAAAATACTATGATTTAAAAAGAAAACTACTGCAGTATCCCTAGATATAAGTCCATGACAGGAGGGCACAGGACCCGGAAAAAAAAAAAAAAAAGCAGATAGTTTTAACAAAGAGAAAACACAAAGGCAACGATCTGAGGAGGAGCGGTAATTTACTGAATTTAACTAAATCAAACAAAACGAGAGAGACAAGAGTACCCAAATGTCATGGTTTTGGTTTTTGCTTATTTGATTTTCAATATTCCACATCAAAACATCATGTACTGGAAGTGTTAATGCTCTAATTCTACGTACCTATCCCTATACATTGCGGAAGTCACGGGATCTGACCCTTCCGGGGGGGGCGGTCTCTTACTGCCTGGCAGTGGGTGCTGGAGGGTGCTTTCCTAGCCGTTCCAAGCTTTTCAGGTTTGACTCGGTCTCAGGAACTCTCTCTCATAACTTATTTGATTTATTAGTCTCAATTTCAATTAGATT